CACCAACTGACCTATGACAGCAGGTAGAAGCCAGGCCAGCTCCGCGGTATGACCCGATGACCCCTCCAGACGTCCACACGCACACACACACACACACACACACACACACACATACACACTCACACACACACATACACACTCACACATACACACTCACACATACACACTCACACACACACATACACACTCACACACACACAAACCACACACACACACATACCACACACACACACACACACACACATACACACACACAAACACACACACACACCAACTGACCTATGACGGCAGGTATAAGCCAGGCCAGCTCTGCGGTATGACCCGATGACCCCTCCAGACGTCCAGCACCCAGTTGTCCGAAGTCCTCCCTGGACACAGTGACCAGCCCTAGCTCTGGCGCGGTCAGCGGTGTGTTGGACGCTCTCAGCACATCCCGGAACACGCTCACACTTGTGTTGTACACACTCCGGACTACTGATTCCTCGCCAGATAGATCATTCACTACAGGAGACAGAGATTCGCCGTAGTCAGACACGTAAGAAGTCTGGGAGATGTACTCTCCGTGTTGCTGAGAAAGACTGATGGTGTCGTTATAGGTGTTGTTTGTTGAAGTGAGGTTAAAGTTCGTGATCAGAGAGTCGTTGGATAGGCTGCTGGCACTGACGACATGATTATTTCTGTCGGGAGTCAGAAGTGCTGTGAGCAGTTTGGAAGCCATGGCAACGGGGGTTTGTGTGTGTGTGACGTACTCACATTGGAGACCTCGTGGAATGTACGTGAGTGGGGTTAGAGCAACTGTGCTTCTACGTCACTGTCAGTTTGTCCGTAGAACAACTGTGCTAGATGTTGGCTTGTACTGGCAGCAACTGTGCTAGATGTTGGCTTGTACTGGCAGCAACTATGCTAGATGTTGGCTTGTACTGGCAGCAACTATGCTCGATGTTGGCTTGTACTGGCAGCAACTATGCTAGATGTTGGCTTGTACTGGCAGCAACTATGCTAGATGTTGGCTTGTACTGGCAGCAACTATGCTAGATGTTGGCT